CAGCTTATCCCTCCCAGAAAGGAGGACGGCCGAAAGGTGGTCTAGTAATTGGTATCTCACTGAAGCTGCATTTCAAATTTTCACTAGTTTTGACTGCTCCCCCTTATGCTTTATCCGGGTTGATGTCGGGGGGAAAAGTATCACTGCTAATCTCTAATGTCTACCTCCCGCCAGGGGGGTTCGTCCCTTGAACTGCATGATAGATGGGAAATATTAGAAGATCATTTAGTATCATGCCGAGTCAAATATGCCAATAGCCAATCCTTGATTGGTGGTGACTTCAACGCACGTATAGCAGCAAATTGGGCTGATTTAACTAAAGCTAAATGGTGGACTGCTCCATGCCTTGACAATTATGATTTGAGACATGCCTTAGGGAGAGCCTCAAAAGACTCCAAAGTAAACGAGGCTGGAGTACTTCTTTACCAGATGGCTATTCGCTTAAACTTAGAACCCCTGAATGGCTGCTGCCCTCCTGATATACCGGGGGAGTATACCCACCTAGGCATAAAAGCAAACAGTGTGCTAGATTACCTTTTAGCCTCGAGTGACCTGATTTCGAAAGCTCTCTCTTAAAAGATTGACAATATTCACTATAGTGATCACCTTCCACTTGCTGCTACGTTTGACCTAGACTGGCACGGGGACGAGCACGGTCATCCAACTCAATTAGATACTAATGCAGAAAACCAGGTAGAGGGTATTAATACGGCATTACGAGTGAAGGGTATAAAGTGGTCTGTAACGCAGGCTCAAAAATATTCTGAATTTTTTCAGCAGGAGATCATACAAACCTATTCAGCCCTTGGCATAACTTCATATGATCACGACCAAACTATTAATCTATTTGCCAATCTGTTGAATGACCTCACGTCATTCTTTTCTGTCCCAACCCACCAGGCAAATTGGGCCCACCCCAAGACAGGTGCACCGTGGTTTAACCGTAATTGCAAACAAGCCAAACAACATCTTTGTGCTATTTATAATGATTACAAATCCTCAGGGGCGATTACGCTTCCCAAGGAGTACTATCAGGCAAAATCAGCTTACAAATATGTGCAGAAAAGGCCAAACAGGAATGGCAATTGAACCGCTGGCAAGCACTTATAGCTGCCTCAAGTACTCGTAATTCCGAAAATTCTGGCTGTTGGTTAACAGAAAATCTAAAAGATACCCCTTAACAGTTATTCCTGCCCCAATTTGGGAATCCTTTCTAAGGAATTATTTTGCCTTACCAGACCTTCATATTAATACAATCGATGGAGTCTATGAGCAGCTCCTCTTTGGCCACCCACTGACCCGGAAGAAATCCACGGACTTATTTCTAATCTTAAAATCGGAAAAGCCCCCGGTCCTGATCTAGTCCCGGCAGAAGCTATAAAGCTTCATGCTGACTGGTGGGCGAAAATCTTGGCCGCTACCTTTGATGCTGTAAACAACAGTGGGAAGGTACCAAGAATATGGAAGGATGCGATTATTGTTCCAATTCATAAAAAAGGCTCGACAGATGACACGGGAAATTACAGGAATATCAGTTTATTGTCATTAATCGGGAAAATATATGCACGGTTCTTGTTAACTAAGCTTACTAAGTGGGCCGAAGAGAACAACCTGATTGGGCCTGAACAGGCTGGTTTTAGACCGAATCAGTCAGCGGTTGATCAGATCTCAGTTTTATACCACCTTGCCCGGAAATACTCCTCCCCAAATAGAGGCCAACTTTGTGCGGCCTTTATTGATTTAAAGGCCGCTTTGACAGCATCCCCAGAGGATTGCTTTGGGGAAAACTAGCCCGATGGGGAATAGATAAAAGACTTTTGTGGCTAATAACTAAACTGCATGACGGATCGGCCGCTAGGGTGAGAATCTCTCCGGCAGGCGACCTCTCAAACTCAGTAACTATCAATAGAGGTGTTCGCCAAGGATGTATCCTTGCTCCGACCCTTTTCAATCTATTTATAAGTGATATGAGGGCGCCTCTGATAGAGGCTCAAGAAACGATCCACGCCCCCCGTCTTGCCCAATATCGTTGCCCCTTCTACTCTTCGCAGACGACGCAGTGATCCTATCCTTTTCAAGAGTCGGCCTTAGGAGGGCATTAAAAATTTTCGATGTTTACTGTAAATCAAATTTTCTTACAATTAACCATGTTAAGTCCAAAGTTCTAATTTTCACCAAGAGTAGAAAAACCTATAATTGGAGAATAGACGGAAAAGCTATTGACCAAGTCTTTAAATTTCAGTACTTGGGAGTCTTCCTCCAACACAACATGGGCTGGAAGGTCCATGTTGCATATGTATTAAACAGAGCTAAAGCCCTTTCCTATGCGCTATTGCGTTTTCTTTTCAGATGGGGCTTTCCATATTCCATCAGTGTTAAAAGTTTTCAAGGCAAAGGTGATTGCAACAATAGCATATGCAGTCCCATTATGGGGTCCTTTGCTAATCTAACCCAGTTGGAGGTAATCCAAAACCAGCTTTTAAGAAGGTTGTTAAAATTACCTAGGTGTGTAAGCAATACTGCTATACGACTGGAACTAAATGTTACATCTCTAGAAACCACATTATGGAAATGCATCCTCTGTTACTGGTTGGCTTTATGGCATAAACTTCCAAATCTCCACCTGATACAATGCCTCTGGAGAGATGACTTCCTAGCCCCTGGGCAAAAATAATACATGGGAAACTTGTGTCCCTAGGACTATCTCCATCCGAACTATTAAAATTGGATTTAACTTCGGCCAAAAGAATTATAACTCACAAATTAGAGGAGATGGATTTACAATTTAATATTGCGACAGGTGGAGGCACATGTTCGCCGATAAACCTTGGCTTAACTCCACCAACGAAACTTCCATCTTACTTAACTACCTTATCTGTGGTGACGCACAGGTATGCCTTTATAATGGCTAGATTCAATGTTTTCCCATCAAACGTGTTGGGTAACAGACTCTCCAACGGACAGATCTCACTCCTCTGTGACTGTAAAAGCGGATCTATAGAATCGTTATATCATATAATCTTCTGTTGTCCATTACATTCGGCTTCACGGTCCAAGTTTCTGGCCCCATATTTATCGAGAATTGCTGACAGTCCTCAGGAAGCCCAAATAATATACTTATTAAACGACGAAGATACAAGTAGATCCCTTGCAATCGCTAGATACCTGATTAATGTTTTATTTCAAAAGAGGAGAAATGGATCACTGTATGTTTCTGACAGCTTAGCTAAACTTAAGAACCATCAATAAGTGCCAGAACTAAGACGTATACCCCCAAAATCTGATGGATCGGAATTGCGGTTTACATAGAGGGAGCTTATTGTGTATAGTGTTTACTTAACTAAAGTAAAATTGGTTTTATAAGGGTGTTTTAACTTGGAACTGTTTAAATTGTATTGTTTATGGATAAATTCTGATGTATTGTTTTTATATGGGCCAATGGCCGTAATAAATCTAAATCTGAAAATTTGCAACTAATGGTGCTTAGTGTCACAGCCTAATATTGCCCCCCCCCCACCAATGTTGTTATTTATGTGTCAAAACTTAGGCTCAGCCATATATTATTTTTAAGGAAGAAAGATCATTTACCATTTTCAGAACAATTGTGCCTCTGACATCTCAGTGAAGTCAAACAAGTGGTTCTACCAGAAAGGAAACTGTCAGGAATTCTGAATTACCACAGCCTGTTTGGAAAGAAAATTCATCATCTCTCAAATTTCCCATGAATTTCTGATATCTGAGTTCATTGTGCATAAGATTAGCACTTCACTGTAGAGTAAGATATCATCTCTTGCTACTCTGGTTAAGACGCCAATCTGATTACAATTTTATGACTTTGCATTATTATTCAGAATGATTTATTCCTGAGTTAGGAAATGCATATGTCTCAGGAGAAATAGTTGGCCTTTTGCCCTCTCTGATTATCCAGAGATTATAGAGAACAACTACAAGCTTCCATTAGATCTGTTCTGAAGTCTTTGCTAGACAGATCTGGCTGCTGGAGGCAACTTCTAACAGTTATTTGAGATGATATATAACTCTTCCCCCTCACAAAGAGATGGCTGGCTCCATTCGTTTCTTCTGCAATCCTCAGACATTGTTTATACAGCACCTATTCAAAACATGCCACCTACTTTTTAAAAAGCCACCTACATGATCTGCAGGGTGGGTTTGTGTTTGATCACAGCTGTCATTTAACCAACTTTGTATCTACATGGAGTCTTCTTTTAAAATATCTTAGCCATGCCACTAATTTTTAATATTAACCACTATGTACTGAATCCAGCCCAGTCAAACATTAGTGATGGCACATTTGCACTGGACATTCTGAAAGCTAGTCTAGGCTAAGTCAGGTGCATGACAGCATGAGAGGAAGATACACACATAGCTGAAATGGCTGTCTTTCTCATGGCCACCAATTAGCTGAATTGACCATAAGAACAGGACATCATAAGTGCTGCCAGAAGAGAGATTTGTTTTCTTTGCAGATACAACTTAGTAGGGTGTGTTGAATTTGTCAACCTTAAAATATTGACTTCTTTGCGTTTTTGTGGAATATCCAATAATTTTAAATTTGTCTTACTAAAATTTGTGTGTGCTTAAAATGTGCTTAAGGGATGCGGGTGAGGCTGTGGGTTAAACCACAGAGCCTAGGACTTGCCAATCAGAAGGTCTGCGGCATTTCTGTGCACTGCTCTGGTTCGCCAGAAGCGGCTTAGTCATGCTGGCCACATGACCCGGAAGCTGTACGCCGGCTCCCTCGGCCAATAAAGCGAGATGAACGCCGCAACCCCAGAGTCTGCCATGACTGGACCTCATGGTGAGGGGTCCTTTACCTAAAATGTGCTTAACATTTTGTGCTTAAAATTGCATTAAAATAATTTAAAATGATTGCCAAGTACTTGCAGTTATATTGTATATGCGTAACAGACAAGTCAGGCAAGACAAGCAAGAAGACAAGAAAGAAAGCCTTGCTGAATTAAAGGAGAGAAGTAAGCAGGATGCTTCAATGCCATCAAATTTTCTCTGCTGGTGAAAATAAAGCTGGTCCCAAAGATGGAAATTATGGTGGTTATGAATTGACATTAGGAAAACCAAGCACATCTTCCACTTCTAATAAAAATATAGAGTACAACACATTAGAAATACATAATGTTGCTATACAGAACATCAGATATGGTGTTGGCCTGCATGCCACAACTGCCATCATCGCTGTTGGCTTTATTGATGACTTGATCACTGAAGAAGACAAGGGACTTGTAGTTGATCACAATAAAGTCAAGAGGGCCAAAGAAAATGTTACAAAATCCCTGGACCAGGAATTTGATTACCTTTGTCAGAAGGGTGAAACTGACCGCATCTTCTCTGATGGCCATAAAGATCCAACTGAAGTTATGCTGAAATCAACAGTTCCCCAGCATAATCACAGAACATTCTTCTCTGTGCAGTGAGCCAGGTGGAAGATATCTCTACCTCTTTACTCTGGAGAAAGGCTCAAGCAGAGAAAAGTCAGCTGAAGTTATTGCTAATAATGTTATAGATTTTGTGAAAAAGAAGGGCATTGATAAGAGCCTACAGGCCATTGGAGGTGATTCTACAAATGTTAACACTGGATGGGAGGGTGGTACCAAGCACTAGGTGGAGGTCTAGCTTGGTCTGGTTGATTTGTGCCCTCCACACCAATGAGTTACCCCGTGACACTTGATCACAGCATTTGAAGGGAGGACCTTGTCTAACAGCAAGTAGAGAGGTAACATTGGCAAGCTGCTAGACAGCACTACAGAACTTGAAATTGATCCTTCTTCCTTCACCAAACTCTCAGTTGGAGAGCCTCTTACTTCACTGAATGACAACGTCATAAAGGATCTGTCTACTGATCAAGCCAGAAGTACAGGTAAACTTCTCACGGATCTGGCCCTTCTTGAAAGTGAGCCATTCAAGGTGGTCAACAGCAAACAGGCTTTCCTGCCTAAGGATTTCAAAACATTGCCTTAAAGGCAAAACCCTTAACAACTTAAGACTGAAAGTGGAATATATCATTTGTGTGCAGTATCCCTATTGCTTCAGTATCAAACTACCTTTGGTGGAAGGCCCACGCCACATCTTGTTTCAGCTGCATCAAGTTAGGCTGCAAAAGAAGGCTGTAGCGAATGCTGTTTTGCCAACTGTACAGTGCTCAGCATGGTTTGCATTCAGCGAAATGATAACCCACATACTGTCAGATGACAGTGAGGAGAGGAGAGCTGGTGTCCAAAAGATTGTTAACTTGGGGGGCTGAGATGACACATTGGAAGATCTTTCTGTACATTGTGGGAATACACATTCCATCAGCCCCTGTGCTCCATCCCGATTGGAGCTGATACCATGGCCTCCATGGGGCTGTCCCTGAATAAGTTTGGCCCAACTCATAGCCACGGACATGCCTTAGACCTGGTTTCACCTTTATGGATGTTAGTGATCTGACATTAAGTAAAAGTGAAACAAAAGTGCCATGGTCAGATCACTTCCTGGTGCAACTGGACTTCTCTGCAACCCTTCCCCTCTGCAGGGAGGTGGGACCAATTCGGATGGTCCGCCCCCGCCACTTAATGGATCCAGATGGTTTCCAGAGAGTGGTAGGGAATGTTTTATCCCATGTTGATGGTCTCTCAGCTGATTCCCTGGTGACCCGCTGGAATACGGAGTTAACCAGGGCTATTGACTGTCTGGCTCCGAAGCACCCTTTCTGATTGCATGGAGCCCGGACAGCCCCATGGTTTTCCCCAGAGCTGAGGGTGATGAAACAATCGCTGAGATGGCTAGAGCGCCGGTGGCAGAAAACTCATTCTGAATCAGACCGGACACGGGCTAGAGCTCAAGGTCGAGCCTACCAAGTGGCGATGGCAACGGCGAAGAGGACCTTATTTGCCGCTTCTATTGCATCTGCAGAAAACAGCAGCAGGAGACTCTTTCAGGTGGTTCGTAATCTATCGGAACCACCTTCATCATCGGGGCCGGGTGGGGACCCCAAGATCTCCTGCAATGCTTTTGCAAAGTTTATTGCAGATAAAGTTGCTCAGATTCGGAAGGAGGTAGACTCCACTGTGGGAGCAGGGCCGGGGCGGGAGAGTGCTAGAGTCCTGTCTAGTCAGGTTGCGTGGGATCAATTCCAATCTGTTACCCCCGAGGATATGGACAGGCTGCTTGGACGAGTGAAACCAACCACCTGTCTCCTTGCTCCTTGCCCATCCTGGCTTATAAAAGCTAGCCAGGAAGGGCTGGGTGATGGACTTTGCAGGGTGGTGAATGCTTCTCTCTGTGAGGGAGCCTTCCCAGACCCACTGAAAGAGGCGGTTATCAAACTGCTTCTTAAAAAACCATCTTTAGATGCTGCCAATATGGCCAACTGTCACTCATTCTCAAATCTTCCATTCTTGGGCAAGGTGATTGAGCGGGTGATTCAGGCCTCACCATGGGACTGAAACTGCCTTGGTCGCACTGGTCGATGATCTCCGGCGGGCTAGGGACAAAGGTGACTGCTGTTTCCTAGTTCTGCTGGATCTCTCAGCGGCCTTTGACACCATTGACCATAACATCATTCTGGACCGTCTAGAGGGGCTGGGAGCTGGGGGCACTGTTATACAGTGGTTCCGCTCCTTTCTCCTGGGCCGTGTCAAGAAAATGGTGTTGGAGGATGAGTGTTCAGACCCTGGGCTCTCACTTGTGGGGTGCCTCAGGCTTCCGTCCTCTCCCCCATGCTTTTTCATATCTATATTAATCCCTCCGTTGGGAGAGATCATCAGGGGGTTTGGGCTGGGTGTTTATCAGTATGCAGATGATACCCAGTTCTACTTCTCTTTTAAATCAGAACCAGTGAAGCCGGTGAAGGTCCTGTGTGAGTGTCTGGAGGCGGTTGGAGGATGGATGGCGGCTAACACATGGAGGTTGAATCCTGACAAGACTGAACTACTGTTTTTGGGGGACAGGGGGCGGGCAGGTGTGGGGGACTCCCTGGTCCTGAATGGGGTAACTGTGCCCCTGAAGGACCAGGTGCGCAGCCTGGGAGTCATTTTGGACTCACAGCTGTCCATGGAGGCGCAGGCTAATTCTGTGTCCAGGACGGCTGTCTACCAGCTTCATCTGGCATGCAGGCTGAGACCCTACCTGCCCGTGGACTGTCTTGCCAGAGTGGTGTATGCTCTAGTTATCTCCCGCTTGGACTACTGCAATGCGCTCTACATGGGGCTACCTTTGAAGGTGACTCGGAAACTGCAATTAATCCAGAATGCGGCAGCTAGACTGGTGACTGGAAGTGGCCGCCAGGACCACATAACACCGGTCCTGAGAGATCTGCATTGGCTCCCAGTACGTTTCCAAGCACAATTCAAAGTGTTGGTGCTGACGTTTAAAGCCCTAAAGGGCCTCGGTCCTGTATACCTGAAGGAGCGTCTCCACCCCCATTGTTCAGCCCGGACACTGAGGTCCAGCACCGAGGGCCTTCTGGCGGTTCCCTCATTGCGAGAAGCGAGGTTACATGGGACCAGACAGAGGGCCTTCTCTGTAGTGGCGCCCGCCCTGTGGAACGCCCTCCTTTCAGATGTGAAGGAAATAAGCAGCTATCTTCTTTTTAAAAGACATCTGAAGGCAGCCCTGTTTAGGGAAGTTTTTAATATTTAATGCTGTATTGTTTTTAACACTTGATTGGAAGCCACCCAGAGTGGCTGGGGAAACTCAGCCAGATGGGCGGGGTATAAATAATAAATTATTATTATTATTTATAGACTAGCTGATATGAATCTCTTTGGACATGTAAACATACTACAGTGAAAGAAGTTAATTGATGAAACCATGCAAGTTCCACAGTGGCCCTGTCATGCTCAGTCTATTGGGAGGTGTGTAGAACAAGTCACTGAGGCAGCATGCAGGGTGTATACACATAAGAAATGTGGGGGCTACATCAGAGGCCAAGAAGCAAATTGGCGGCCGATGTCCAAAAACTTGATGAAACTTGTTTAAATTTCTTATTAGCTGATGTCATTACTTTCTAATGTTTTAGGATTATAAGGCAATGTTGTGTGCTTATTAGGATATGTTTTATGTAGAGAAACTATTTTTTTATAGCATTTACTGACATTTTTAGAAGGTAAAACTAAAACTCTCTGTTTATCTTTGACCCATCTAGTTGTTTGGTGGGCATTACTTATGTTATCAAGTGCCTCACATCACTGCCATTTAAAGGACAGGAAATGCCTGCTATTAAAATACTGTCAAGATGCTTTCCATTAACAGTGGGAATGTTTGAAATTTGCAGCATGGCATAGCCAGAGTTTCAAACACAGGAAAATAGGGAAGCAGGTAGAAGAAGGTGATTAGCCTACCAGCTGCTGATTTTGCAGCAGTTCTTAACCCTGCAATAAAATAGATGGGTTCTGGAAGGATGTGACATTTGGGGCAGTCCCCCTGCTGAAAGGTGACAGGGTCTCAGACATGGACAAAAATAATCCCTCCTTCTTAGCTTTATTAAGGCATCTGTCCTTATGCAAGGGACATGGCAAAAAACAGGGTTCCAGTTACGGAGCTCCTTCCTTAGGGAGGCTAGCTGGGTGCAAACTACAGTATTATCTTTTAGATGTCAGGTTAACAGATTGTTATTCTCTCGGGCATATTTTTTAATGGATTGTATTTTAAGTATTGGAAGGGTGCCGTATATCAAACACTGTACGTGATGTTTTCATTCTGATGTTTTAATTGATATTTAATTTTCTTTTGATTTTCTTAAAATATAATTGTTTTATTTTTCATATCAATGGCTTATCAATGGCTTAAATAAATTTGTAATATATGAAATGAATGGTTCAGTAGGAAGCAGTTGGTGATGGTGGTGATAATTTATTCTTGAGACAGAGATGGGCAAATATGTCGATTTTGGTTTCTCTTGGTTTTTCATTTTTCTACTCGTAACCAGTTCTTCATATTTTCATGTCAGTTTGCATCTTTTGTATTAAAACCATCAAGAAAATGCATACATTTTGTGCAGATTTCTCCTACTACACATATTTTTATTTGCAGTTTCGCCCTAATACAGTTCACTTCTAACTTGCATGCATTTAACTTGCAGAATTGTAGCTTCTCGCACTTGGCAACCAGCTAGTTGCCATCACACTAATTAAATGCACACAAGGCCAAGAGCTTAAAAGCTCTTTCCAAGCTTTTAAGCTCTCGGCCTTGCTTACTGAGCTCTGGAAAGGTTTCACGTGGGCTCCGAGAGGCTCCCATGAGATCTTGGATGGCCCCACGAGAGCTTCCACAAGGGAGCCTCCCAGAGCTTGGAAAGCAGGGCAGAGAGGTTAAAAGCTCTCTGCCTTGCGTGGGGTGCAAGGTCCACTTGGTGTGTTGGCTTTGGAAAGGTAAGGATGGCCACACAGGGGCAGTTTCAGGGTTGTTCGGAGTACACAATTTTGGCTTTAGGCCC